TCCATTGTTCCAACAGATTGGAAAATTGCTGCAGTTACACCAATTTTCAAAGCAGGTGTGAAGACTGACATGGCTAATTATTGCCCCATAAGCATTCTCCCGGTCGTATCTAAAATAGCTGAGAAGTGGGTGGTTAAACTCCTCACTGCTCACCTAGAAAACACCCAACCCTCATTACATCCATTGCAGTTTGGCTTTCGGGCACATCACTCCACAGATACTGCCCTGTGTATGTTAGTGGAGAACTTGAAGAGCTTGCTGGACAAGAGTCCCTGTGTTGGAGCTGTATTTTTAGATCTGAAGAAGGCTTTCGACTCTGTAAACCATCAGATATTGATGTGCAGATTGACTCGGTTTAATATCTCCAGTCAGGCTCTTCAGTGGTTTGCCTCATATCTCTCACACAGGAAACAGTGTGTGGTGTTGGACGGGGTTAAATCTCCATATTTAGACTGTGATACAGGGGTTCCTCAAGGATCTGTTCTTGGGCCCTTATTGTTCTCTCTTTTTATCAATAACTTACCTGAAGTCTGCCCAAATATATTTACTCAAATGTATGCGGACGATGCCGTTATATATACGCAAGCAAATAGTGTCCAGCAGGTGGCAAAAGATCTTACAGCTGCTTTAGCATTAATGCAGAGCTGGCTGGAGGACTCATGCCTGATGTTGAACACCTCAAAAACTGTCTGCATGTATTTTTCAAAACGCCCCTGAAACTTGAAGCAGTCAAACATATTCCTGGATGGAGCAGAGCTTGAATTAGCTCCAGAATTCAAATATCTTGGGGTCATTCTAGACCCAACATTATCCTTCAAGAGTCACATAAATAAAGTGTCCCAGGTACTTAAATTTAATAATCGAAATTTTAATCATATACGTAATAATTTAAATATGAATGTAGCAAAAACTTATTTTTACTCAATGATCATCTCTCATATGGACTATTGTTTGACGTCCTGGTCACTTGCTTGTCCAACAACACTTAAAACTATTGAAAACATTTATAAAAGACGTTTAAAACTACTTGACAAAAAACCGACTTCCCACCACCAAAAACAAAAATTACTGAACTTCAATAACTTAGTGAAACTTAAAAGAGTGTGTTTAATATATAAAGTCTTACACTCCCTTGCTCCACCACCACTGAAGCTACAACCCACAGAGACGTGTTTATACCCCACAGACGGACAGCATTATGTCTATTATGTCTATTTTTTTATGTTTTATGGACAACAGATGGAAATATAATAATCTGGTATGTTTACATACATTGTAATTTTTTTTAATGTATGTTCATTAACATGCACTGTCCTAAATAAAAATAAAATAAAATCTGATTGGCTCCTTGTATCCATAATCAGTAAGTAATGTGTTTCATCATCAGAGCTGCTCCTGCTGATCGTTATTGATCAGTTTTGGTTTCATTGAACAGATCATCTGCAGCGCCCCTGTCGTCCCACCGGGGAACTGCAAACTGCTGCAGGTAGTACAGGACGTCAGGCCTGGTTCTTTCACAGTAAAAGTACAGCAGTCTGAACGTGTTGTTAAATATACGTAAAAATCCTGACACAAATCCAAAAATCTGAATCTGTGACAAGAAAAGTCTGTAAACTGACAATGACAGCGAGGCAAGCAAAGGTAAGAAGCAGAGCACGTGTCACTTCCTGTCATGTCTGCAGCTCGTTGTTTCCACTAATGTGTCGTTTGCTCAGTTGAAGAAAACCCAGCGTTGAGAGGCAAAGTCACACCTGGACAGGTGCCTCAGAGAAATCAGCAGGGGGCGATATAACCCCAACCCAGCCTGCAGTAATACTGGCCAATCAGAAGCCTGAAAAAGAAGCTCAGCGTGCACACCTTTGATCACACAAAATCTGTTCTAGTTCATTATCAGAGAGCTAGCCTGGGTTTACCACCCACAGAGGTGCGAACAGCGCCTCCAGTGGGTTTTAGTCTCTGCAGCAATCCCTGCGAGCGCCCCCTACTCCAGTCGGACACGTTATGAGACAACACTGATGATCAAACCTGAAAATCTGTACCAGGTAAATGATCTGACAGAAGAACAAGCAGAGTATCGTTAATCTGGTGATTTGTGACCGAGTGCTATAATACAGATTTGAATGGCAGACAATGACTTTGTGTCTGAGCGCTCAGAGCTGCTGTCATAGGTGACGGCTGCAAGACTTTAGAGACTCTATCCATGGAAACATTACAGCTTCCTGTCCCGCCCAATGAAGGAGACATGAAATCAGATCAGAGAGAAGGAATGTGATTGGTTGATCAGGTGTTCAGGTGTGTGTTCTGTGTTTGCAGCAGTAGGTAAGAATCCTCCCCTGCATCAGCATGGCAATGTGAACATGAATACACATGCAGTGAGACCTGCTAGAGCTATAAAGCTGGCCTTCACCTGACCAGGTGATGTGCTCAGCATCCGTTACCATGGGGATTTAGCAGGTGAAGAGCGAACACTCGCTGGCGTTAATCAACTTTCAGGACTCCGGGTCAGAACTTACAAACCTGTCTGGCTGGGGTTTTATTGTGAAGGGCTGCACCGGAAGTGTGTGGTTGCGAGCGTGCTTGGAGCCTCCCTGCAGCGGAGCAGAGAGGAGGAGGAGGAGAACGAGCTGAAGGTCACAGCTGGAGCAGCATCATCAGCATCGATCGATCCTGTGATCGATCATCGGCCGCTGATCGGTCACAGCAGCAGCGAGACACACCAGCAGCCTCCGCCTGTCTCCGCCCGCCTCTCCGCCATGGGGAACCGGGGGATGGAGGAGCTGATCCCGCTGGTGAACCGGCTGCAGGATGCCTTCTCCGCCATCGGCCAGAACTCCAGCCTCGACCTGCCGCAGATCGCGGTGGTGGGCGGTCAGAGCGCCGGCAAGAGCTCGGTGCTCGAGAACTTCGTGGGCAAGTGAGTCCCCCTGTGTGTGTGTGCGCGTGTGTACCTGTTTAGACATCTGGGTACTAAAAATGGGAACGTTCCTGTGCTTGTTATGGTTAGGTTCTTTTTGATGGTTCGGTAAGCAGCTGGGAAAGCTTAGAGGCTCTCATTAAGATATGAAAAAGAGAATGCGTGTGTGCCCACCTGTCTGTTTGAGCTGGGGGTGGAGATTCTTCTTCTTCTTCTGTTCAGCCCTTTAAAACACATTCAGGTGGAGGTGTGACATTTGGTTGGAGGTGGAGTGATGTTCAGGTGGAGGTGTCACGGCGGTGGGGCAGAGTTACTGACCCGCTCATGAGCTGGTAAATGGACTGATTCTTACACAGCGCTTTTCTACGCTCAAACATGCTACACCCCCCCATCCCTCCACCAACACCCGTGCAACCACACAAGCACTTTCTTCTATGCTTTAGGTGCTAACTAGGTAACATTCGCTCTGATGGATGCATCGCAGACATACTTGTGGTTAGTATCTTGGTAAATGGCCTGTATTTATATAGCGCTTTACATATCCACCCATTCACACACACATTCACACACTGGTGATGGCAGCTACATTGTAGCCACAGCCACCCTGGGGCGCACTGACAGAGGCGAGGCTGCCGGACACTGGAGCCACCGGGCCCTCTGACCACCACCAGTAGGCAACGGGTGAAGTGTCTTGCCCAAGGACACAACGACTGAGACTGTCCAAGCCGGGGCTCGAACTGGCAACTTTCCGATTACAAGGCGAACTCCCAACTCTTGAGCCACGATCGCCCCGTATCTTGCCCGAAGATATTTGGCTGGCAGACTGGGGGAGCCTGGGATCGAACCACCAACCTTCTGATCAGTAGATGACCTGCTCTACCTTCACCTCATCATCTGCAGGATGTGTTTGTCTGTGACGCTGATCCCAGATCACGACTCACAGAGATTGTATAATTTGTCTGGCCCGAGAGCGCCTAAAGATCCCACAGCAGGACCTGGAAAACTGGAGGAAAGACATCTGGAATGCCCTGATTACCCTGTTGCTAAGAAGGTGGAAAGAGATGAATGGAAAGCCCAGAGCGTGTGAGAGGCGACAGTAATATTTCAGAAAACACTTCCTGAGATAAAATTTTGACCTACCTAAAAAGAAAAACGTCAGAAGTGAGCCATGCCTCTGTTCCCAACACTCTGTTTGGCACACTTTTTCTACTCCTGCTCTGCGTGATGTCACAGAGGCTATGTCGTCATATATCTTGATGCATCTCAATCATCCAGGGAAGTAAATCTCCAAAAGCTGATTCTGTTCATCTGGACGTAGCGTTTTGTGGGAGAAACGTTTTGTCATCATCCAGGTGACGTCTTCAGTCTCAGCTGACTGCAGGTTTCAATCTTATATACAGGACATTTGCATAATGACTGAAACCAGCCCACTGAAGGAACAATGGGCTGGGAGGTCAGTTCGTTAATCATAATTATGCAAATTCCATGACCATTGATCACCGTTGGTGTTCCAGGGTAGGATCACAAAGCCCTCTTTTCCACTTCTTCCATGTACAAATTGGCCACGATGGGTGAAACTGGGGAGCCCACGGCACACCCATGTTTCTGCCTGTAGAACTGAGCCTTGTATGTGAAGTAGGTGGAGTGAAGACACAATTCAAACACACTTGGTGGATGCTGAGAGTGGTCCTGCTGCTGAGGTTGGGGTCATCCTGTAATCTCTTACGGACTAACTCCAACGCTTCTGTGAATGGGATGCAAGTGAAGAGAGATGTAACATAACGAACTGACCTCCCAGCCCATTGTTTCTTCAGTGGGCTGGTTTCAGTCATTATGCAAACGTCCTGTTTATAAGATTGGGGAAACCTGCAGTCAGCTGAGACTGAAGAAGGCACTTGTAAGCTGCAGAGGAGGAGGTGGCAGCAGGGTGGAGGATCTGTGCATATAGAAACTGTGTGTGTCTCTGAGGTCTGTAGTTTGAGTCCTGCTGGAAGATGGCATGTGATTGGCTGAATATTTTTATCTTCACTCTGAGAATGGGTGGGGGGTGGGGGGATCTCTGTCTGCATCTCTGCTCTTATTGGTTG